TGATTAACAGAATACTTCCAATTTTCAAAGGCATTTGGGCACACAGCTTTATTTCTCAACATTTCCAGGTCCTTGATATTAAAGCTTGAAGTCTCAGGTCATAGTTTAATTTAATTAACCCTGTATTTTAAAGTTCTAAGCTCCAAATATTTCTATTTTCTTAGATCTTAGAATTTCTGGAAAAATATTAGTGAATCACTATAATTATTAGTGTATCATTTATAATGTGTTAGACAATGTTCTGAGCACATTAAATTATTTATCTCATTTACTCATAATAACTTCAAGAATTTGATTCTTTTATTATTTCTGTTTGACAAATGGGAAATTTAAGCATGAAGTCCACTAATTTGGAGATTTATAAGGTCAGAACATTAATATAATAAATTCTCTCATTATGACTGCTGAACAAGGAAGAAAGACTGCTGTGATCATATTCCCAAATGGCATAAGTAATATGTAGCATTTAAAAAATCTTTTGTCTAATCTGTATTTATTATCTAAAATATTTGGCAGGTCCTGTGTGAGGCTAGATCTGCAGCAACTAGAGATTATATTTTACATTTGCAGTTTTCATTCTATTACCATGCTTATCTTTTATTTCTATATAATTTACTTTGTTAAAGCTCGTAGTTGTGAAAAAATAGCATTCAGAAGTGTCAGTTGATTTTAAACTATCATATGTTGAATATAGATGAATATTCATTATTATTAATCTAAGTCTGTCATAGGTCAGAAAAATACCATTCAGTTCAACTTGTATCCAGTTTATTTTTATAATAGAAAGATTTAAATAAGCGCATGTAAAATAAAAGAAAGTGTATTTTATAATAGAGGTATTTTAAATAAGTGTATATAGAAGGTAAAGGTTTTAGTATGTTAAATTTTAAAAACTAGCTTTTGGTTATAGGCCTAGATGGAAAGAGATGTCACCTAAGCGAATAAGTTCTGTTGAAACTATGGAAAATATACTTTTCATAATAATTGCATTTTATAAAACAGATCATGTGATACAATATTACGTGTAAGGGTGTTAACAGATATTTCCATTTGAAGAAACGTCACAAGTTTCTATGATCTTCTCTATACTAAAGTATATCTCTTCTAGATAATTATTCATGTGGTAGATTATAAAATCTACTACATGTACTTTTTAAAAATAACTCACATGGGGTAATCTTAAAGTGCCATGACAATACAAATTAACCAAATCATGTACATCAGTAATAAAACAAAATTGAATGGCAGTATAACATGATCATGTTTAAGACATGCTGATTTTGCTGGAGATTTATCTTTGAATATAAAATTTTCATACTACTAGGGAATTTGAAGCTTCTGATAAAAAGAAATGTATTATGTTTTTGTCTCACAGGGCAGAGGTATTTTAAAGACAGCTACCTTCTTGGTGGGAGCCATTGAATAATTTATACCAACTCAAAACTAAATATGTTACTAAAGTTCTGCCTTTATTTGGTAGTTTATTTGCTGCTAAATTATATATATATATATATATATATATATATCTTTAATATGTTATATAAATATATATATATATGTTTTAAGTGAAAGAAAACTATCAGGGTGGAGATATCTATGTTTATTTTTGCAAAACATCTATACTATTTTTAAGGCAAAATAATTTTATAGAAATATTTACTAATCCTATATATGTATATAATATATTTATATATATATATACACATATATTTGATATATAAAATATATGACATTTGTAATTGATTCTACCAAGTTGATGATTAAAATGCTTTATCATATATGTCGTTACATACTCATTTTTTTGGTAATTTTCCTGAGATACTTTGGATTTTGTTATATCAAGTGACTTCATCTACCTTTATCCCAGATGTGACTCTCTGAAAGATAGAATTTAATGAAAATTTAATAATGTGTAATGAATTCAAAAGCAATAGTAAGGGTGTCAGGTAGAAACCCATCATGCTGATGAGTTAATATCTGTATCTGCATTACATTCTATTTGCTGGCTCTGTCTGATGTTTGAGGAGCGTTAAATTGCTGATGTACATGTGATGGAATGCCTATTGTCAGGCTAGAGATGAAAACTCTGCCTCACCATTGCAGTTGGCTTTTAAATGATTTATAGAGAAGTGACTTTGAATGTTTGTATTAGAGGTCAGAATTAGAGATCTCACATTTCTGTAGTAACTCCCATGTGCCAAGTCTTCTTTGAACGTAAACCAAGCTCTACCATTCAATTTTTTTTTAAGCCTTTACGGGGAGAGAGAGAGAGAGAGAGAGGGAGAGAGAGAGAGAGAGAGAGAGAGAGAGAGAGAGAGAGAGAGAGACTCTGATTCATTAAAATGGGAGAAAAAAAATCTAGACAACTGTATGGAAAAATTGTCCAAGTAAAGTAATCAATAATGCATAAGCTGAACAGTTAAGGAAGTAAATATAATATCATGTCAAGATAACAGCAATTTATTGATGTTTAGGCCAAAGTGAAAAAGATTGAGTGAAGCCAGGAAATTGCAGTTTACAAAGTACATTAAAATAAATTGGTTTCTAAAGTGTTTAGAGATTACTTATTCTACTTCCTTCAGATTTTTTTGTATCCTCTAGTATTTTCTTCTGACATTTTCTTTAACCCCAGTGAGATTCAGTTTCTTCCTCTATAAGTTAATCAGCCATTACCTAACCTATTCGAATACTTATCACTAACTCCATATGTTACTTACTTTCTCTGCCTGTCTTGATTTGACCAAAGACAGAATTCAAACGCTATACTTCCTTGAATCGTTTTGAAAACAAGGCCAAACAAGAAGGAATGGAGGGAGGGAGGGAAAAGAAAAGAAATGTAGGGCTATGAGAACATTTAGTTTATCATGTGATGATTTTTATGTTTTAGTCTCTACATATAGACTAAATGTTAATAAAAAACACCAAACACTATAATGTGTGTGTGTGTGTGTGTGTGTGTGTGTGTGTGTGTGTGAATATTATACAGCCTCCTCTCCATCTCCACAATGTCTTGCAGGATTATGTAATTATTAACTTTCCACCAATCCTTGACAGTTCTATCTCCTCTAATACTAGAAATGTGTCTTCTATATAGCCCATCCACTACTCAAATAGCTGCTTTAGATTCACTATCTGAATGAATCTAAATGACAAGACTATAAAGTTTGTATTATTATTATGCCCATTTCATATGTGAAGACCCTGTGTTCTAGGGAGGTTGAGATTTTTGCCCACTGTCAGCTTTTCCTAGCTTTTTTCTCAGCATCTTTGCCCATGTGCTGTATCCTCAGCCATAGCATATCACTCTAGGCTTTTCAAATGGAGCGTTCTTATTCTTTGCTTTTGTAAATTTCCCCTTCTTGTGTGTTCTACTCTCACAACCACCTCTCTTGCAAAGCAACTTAGAGGTCACTTTTTTTGAATAATAAGTTTCTATATTTTCTGCTAGAATCAATCACCGGTGAGTTTCCCTGGCACTTTGCACATCGTATCTGACGTTTTTGTTTGTTGGTGCATTGTCTCTCTGATATGTTGGTTCCCTGTTTGGGGAATAGGATCCTATTTATTTCTGTCTTCATTGCCTATCTCAGTGCCTGACATGCATTAGATAATCATTTGTATTGAGTCAATGCTGGGTAAGAATTATTCCTAGATTATAAGGTAGCATATGAAAATTCTAGTTAGAATTACAGACTTTGTATTTTATAAAATTTAATATAAATAATTTAATAGTTGAACTTTCTTAAAAATTTAGGGTATTTTAATTATATGGGCCTCAGCTAGTCAAAATCGGCGGTATGCATAGCCATAATTCTGTACGTAATGCCACTCCCTTTCGTGAAATCCCTGTTTTATCTTTTTCATGGGAATTTACTTGTCAACCACTATTACTAAGGCAATTAGCTAATCAATTATCAGTTGAGCTGTGTTTTTTCCCCACCACAGTGGGACACACTGAAAAATCATAAAACATAGTGAGGGACCTAAGATCCAGCTGGGGTGACTAATACACAGAAAAATTAAGTATGAATACTCTTAATCTGCAGCCGTAATACACCAGTGGGTTACTGAATGCAAACTTAAGACCACTTGCAGTTAATTAGCCCAGTTTTCCTGATACCACCCGGCAGGATACAACAAACTGTCATCCAAAGCTGTGCAGGGGAGAAGAACCTCCATCTGCCATTCCTGTAGCAAGGTTATAAAACCAAACTCTCCTAGGCTGGCAAAAGGCTTCCCTCTTTGGATTGATGCCATCCCAGACTTTTATTTAAAGTTTACTGAGCCAGGACAATTTGTGTCACTAATTTCTTGGAACATCAAAGTCCTCTCTCATGGTCTTAAAGTTGTGCAGTCTTTTTGGTAACTTAAGCCTCTGTAACATAACAGATTTTGCTTCTTGCAGAATTCATATTTCATTTAGTTATTCTGACTATACCCTGAATTTGTGTTTTTAAGACTAGCTCTGACAGTGTAATCATTCCAGGGTTTTTATTATTTTCTGTCTTTAACTTACCAAATCATAGCTTTACTACTTTTGTCTTTAAGTTTTTGGAAGTTGTTTTGTGACTATGAAGGTTTAATTTTGCCTTCTACATTGCATTGCCCTTCAGTGTAATTGCGCATTTGTGACTGTTGTGATTCTCCTGAGCTTCAAAGATTAATGGTTGAGGTGGGTGGGTGGGTGGGTGTGTGTGTCTGTGTGTGTGTGTGTGTGTGTGTGTGTGATTTTGTTTTCTCATAGCTTTTCCACTAAGTACCTTCTACTTTCATTTTTCTTTTATCTTCCTTTCCTATAATAACATCAACAGAATATTATAAGGTTAAATAATTAAATAAAATATGAGTTTCTACTGGGAAAATTTATTTCCCTGTATTATAATCATTACAATTTTATGGAAACCCAATTTGGCTTACTGTTTTGTTTTCAACTTGTTAGTTTTTTTTTTTTAATTGTGTGCTTATTTTATTAAAATATATTTGTCTTATTATTTTCACAGGGAAAAAGATGGCCTATCAGAAGGTCAATGCAGATCAAAGAGCTCCAGGACACTCACAGTACTTAGACAATGATGACCTTCAAGCCACTGCCCTTGACTTAGAGTGGGACATGGAGAAGGAACTAGAGGAGCCTGGTTTTGACCAATTCCAGCTAGACAGTGCTGAGAATCAGGACCTAGGGCATTCAGAGACTACAGACCTCAATCTTGATTCCATTCAACCAGCAACTTCACCCAAAGGAAGGTTCCAGAGACTTCAAGAAGAATCTGACTACATTAGCCATTATACACGATCTGCACCAAAGAGCAATCGCTGCAGCTTTTGCCACCTTTTAAAAATACTTTGCACAGCCACCATTTTATTTATTTTTGGGATTTTGATAGGTTATTACGTACATACAAATTGCCCTTCAGATGCTCTATCTTCAGGAACAGTTGATCATCAGTTATACCAAGAGATTCTCAAGACAATCCAGGCAGAAGATATTAAGAAGTCTTTCAGGTAGGTGAAGAAGAAACATGTTGTTTGAATGCATTTCTTGGGAAAAATGTTTCACACGGGGTATTGAACTGATGATTTTGCCATGGTTCAAGTCAGTGTTGCAAGCTGAGAAACATAATTTACCAGCACAACAAGAATAGAAACTTCAAGGGTAGAGGGTGCACATTTTTAGATTTATGGTACTTCAGTATAAATTTGTGATGCAGTTTGATTGATTACCAGTAAGAATCATAACTTCTGTGGAGACTAGAAGTCTCCAGCCACTGTATTTTCTTCCTCTTGAGGAGCTTAGTTAGGCCAAATTGGGATGCAAAGGTTGCCAGATATACATGTAATAAAAACTAGGACATTAGCCATATCATTAAAAACTTTAATAACATCAGAATAAAATAAACCTGCTTTATGGGCTGAAGTAACTGTCTTCAAAGGCTTCACTGATGTCATATAACTAGTGGATAACTTGGAAAATTTTATTAGCATACATGCTAAGTTGTAAAAGGTTTTCTAGTTTACATATTTAGTGAAGAATTGGATATGGAAGATGAGGTATTACCTTCCACATATGTCTTCTGTATTTGCAGGAAAAGAATAGTCGTAGGTGAATCATGTATGTTGTTTGTAGGTAGCTGAGTAGTGAGGTACTGCTTCTCCAGGATATTCTTTCTGAGTTCCACTGATTTGTTACAGCCAAGATGTTGGCCAGTGTGTATTTCCAGGGATTTCTCAGAAAAGCATGTCAACTGAATGATGTGTCACTTAATTCATGTACTTAAATTCCATGGGTGTTGGTGTTGGTAGATTCTAATCCTCTTCCTGAAGATTTTGCCTCAGTGACAGACAGGAATGTGTTTCCTACACTCTTCTGTATCTGCTATTCACTTTTGTGTAAGCATCCCTGGACATTTAATATGTGGATAATAACTCTTTTAAAGATACTTCTCAATGTAAAATTGTTCATATTGAATTGAGCTGAAGGACATGCTGTTGTCTTATAATGAATGATTGTATCAGTCGGGATCCAATGAAGATAAAAAAAAACTTCCTGAATATTTAAAGCAGAAGGCATTTAAACTATAGAAATGCTTCCAACAATGAACCGAACTGATAAGCCAATCAGGCGATACTCAGGGAGCCCAGCGAGTAACAAAATGGAGCCATTACTAAACCTAGACTAGAGGGAGAAGCCATGGGGTTGGGAGTCTGTGCATACAAGGGCAGAGAGGGGGACGTAACCTCAGCTGCAGACACCACTGAAGACAGAGAGAGAAATGCCCCAGCTTCTGTTTTCCTCCGGCCACTGTGTCCTAGCAGTTGTCCTATTGGCTGAAACCAGCCAGAGACTGCTGACCTACAGCCTGGGAAACTCATTCTGAAGGGACCCACTGCCTGAAATATAGGCTGGAGCAGGAAAGTTGCAAATAAAACTAAGTGGTTCAGGATTGCTATTAAAAAACAAAGAAAATGGAAGAACTCTATAAAACTGTTTTTACTTTAACTTCATTATGGACGTTAGTTCTATTACAAAATTTCTTGCAGAAAAGGATCTTTAGCATTAATTTCTTTTTAATGTTAAGGATAATCGTGTGTGTGTGCATTTTTTTTTTCCTGAGCAACTGGTTACTTTTTAATTTATTGACACAGTGAATGCCATAACCTAGTCTGCTTCCTTCTTTGCTTTGGTTCTTAGTAAGTTTAGAGTCAGATTTCTATTTGTAGGTTTATAAGGAACTTCATGACAAGCATTTTGTTTAAAAACTAAACTATGTATTTATTTTATCTCCTTATATTACTTTGACTTTCTTTGCCTTGTTTTAAGCCTTTTTTCAGCACCATTGTGGTCTTTAAAAACTGTCTTATGTCCTCTTTGCAAATAGGCAACTAATTATAAAATTTTAAATACATAATAATTACATTAAAATATTATTTTTCTCAGAATGGAAGCTGCATGATGGTAAGGATTATATTCCAGTCTTAAACTCCAAAATCAATAAAATAACATTTATGTCAAATCTAGCTATGAAAGTATAACCACTAGCAATTACACTCCCAGGTAGTTTTCTATGGTTAGGCACAGATTCACAATTATGGGTCCATCAAATAGCCAGAGTTTTTTTCTCTTTATTGAGATAACATACTTTCTATTTCAAAAAAAACGTATTTTTGGTACAAATATCTTTGCAAGCGTAACAGCTTCTCATCCAAAAATGACTTTACCCTCAGTAGTCATCCCACCTGCATGTTCTTATGAGTCTCTGTGTTTACTAAGCCATCTTAGCCTTAAGTATGTACCTCTTACTAGTAGTAGATTCCTGCCGTTACTTTCCATGAATTTATTGATAACTTTGTGCTCTTACTGGCCCGCTATTTTGTTCATCGATTGCTCTCTGTCTTCTCTGTTGGTTCTTTTTTCCTGCACATGCTCTAAGCCCATGTCAGTTCTTATCAAGTAGCCTAATAGTTGTGTAATACAAGATATGTTCTTTTTATAATAGATTAGACTGCAGACTGTATGAGAGAATGGACCAAACTTGGTTGTCCACCATTAAATGCAATCATCTAATAGACATTAAGTAATTATTTTTTAAAGAATAAAATGAATGCATGAATAAATGAGAAACTGTTCTATGTTTATCAATTATACTATGTATTTTTCAAATTATTTTACCATTTATATTTTTCATATTTTGCAATGTTATACAAAATGTGAACATAGCACTTTATATTATATGACATGGTCATATTTAAGTTATATAATTATGCTATAATTACTCAGAGGATAGCCTATGTTCTAATTTTAAATACATGCATGGTGGCGTGTGCCTGTAGTCCCAGCTACTCAGGAGGCTGAGGCAGGAGAATTGCTTGAACCTGGAAGGTGGAGGTTGCAGTGAGCTGAGATGGTGCCGCTGCACTTCAGCCTGGTGACAAAGCAAGACTGCTCAAGGAAAGAAAACAGAAAATGTTATAAATTACCTTCAACAATACCATGATGAATAACATCTTGTCTGGAAACCTCGTTAAAAATGCTGCTTCAGATATAGGCATATTTTAGTAATTAATATAATAAATTGGATTCCTAAGTCTCATTTGTTTTCTGTTCTTCCAAATGTACTTTTAAAAACAATCTTGTTCTCTCTGTTCTCTTTCTTCTTTCTCCTCTTTCTCCTCCATTACTCCCTTTCAAGCACTAAATTGTATATTTAGTTATGTGTAATATGGGTGTTAAATTTTGTAGTACTAATTAAACTTTACCATTGACACTATTTGGTTTGGTTAGCTGGCTTTAATGACGTCAAACTAAGGAAGTAACAAATTTACTGTGTATTACTGCCACTTTCTGTGCCATGCTCATGCCCATGAATCATAGCACTCTTTATTGCTGTACTAAGACCTTGCCTCGGAATCCTTCTCAACCCAACAATCTTGAAAGCTCCATTCATTGATCAGAAACACACAAGAAAGATTTTGCCATTCTTACGATATAGCTATGCTCGGTCAGCTGATATAATTAAGTTGATTTAACTTATAGGGATACATTTTTCTCTTCTGGAAAGATAAATTCCATAATTTTAACCAGGACAACTAGCTACAGCAAGAAACACAACTCATGACCAATCTATAAGGCCAAAAAGTCCAAAATCTTGCAACCCTGCATTTTAACATTTAATGTATTTTTACAGACTTTTCTGTACAAAATTGATATCCTGAAAGGAGAAAATCTCTGTCCAAGCTATCTAAAAGCAAAATATATATATATATAATTTACTTTTTCACCTATAACTTTCTCACTTGCACTAATTTACCATCCCATAATATAAGAAAATATGCAGCTGGGGTGCTTTCCTGTCCCCTTCTTTTAACTCAGACATTAGGTTTGTTTACTTGTTATACTATTGGTGCCTTTCCTGTGCACACGGTTTTCTCATTTTTTATCTCTCCCTTTCTGCACCTGCCACCCATGTTAACTTCCTTCCATTCAAGAACCACTGCATTTCATTTATCAAAGAATGAATAATTGAGCAAGTTTCCTGTTCAAGCAACTGGACAACTTGTACATTACCTCCAGTCTTAAATGAGGGAATCAAGGCAGTCCCTACCTAAAGGTAAACTGACTGTGGAATTCATGAAGACCCACAGAGTGGTTTTATGGTTGTCAGGACACTAGAAAGGCTGATATGAAATAGTGGTTTGTCTCTCCTCTCGCCACACAGAAATATATATTTGACTGACATGCTTTTGTACAAACACAAGATTTTGCTGTTGTTTGATGATGTTGTTTGATGATGATGATACCATCAGCAGCTATTCTCTTCTAGTCTCCAGCTTTATCTTCCAGCCATATTTTGGCCCTTCTTCACCTTATTACTGTTATTATTATTATTATAACAGTATTTGTCTTCCCCACATGTTTTTTGTCCCTCTCTAATTTCAGTATTAAAATGAATGAGAGGAGGAAGATTGGGAGAAATGAACAAAGCAATAAAGCAACTGCTGTTTGAATTGGAGAAAAACATGTAAATGTATGCACATAATTCAGAGTATGCAAACGATAACAGAATGAATTTAACAGTAATAGAGTGATGGCTCCTAAAGGAAGTAATTAGCTATCCTATCATTGATCTCTCCAGATAACAAATGTGCGTTGTCTTAAATTTAATCCGAAAAGGAGTACATAGGATAAAATTGATTTAATTATGCATAGTGTTTCATTGTTCTGAACCTTAAATAAGACAACTTCTTAACTCAGAGTTTCTCAGTGTTATGCAGAATGGCATTAATTGTCTTAACTGGATTCAACTCACAGATGCAAGCTCGTGCCCCTCACAATCCTTAGGTATTTGACAAGAGCAGCACCCACTAAGGGAAAGAATAAGGATTGTTGAAGGGGACTTTGACTGCACCAACCTTCTCCATCTTAATCTGTTAAAATACTGTAAAATACTATTTGAGATCTGGTTCAGGCGCCCACTCCTTCATGGAAATCTTGATATCCTATCAGC